TCTGGGGCACGCACGTACATACACCTGGTGTGAGTTTTAAGCTGCTGAGTCCGGAACTCAAACCACAGTCGACTACTGGGAGTACAGTGACACAATCAATACTCCATCTGCTTGTCTCCCACACCCTATATTGATAGTTTGGCTGGGTATAGGATTCTAGTTGAAAATCACTTTCCTTCAGAACTGTGAAGATCTCTCTCCACTGGTTTTTAGCTTCCACTGTTGTGTGAAATAATTTTGATTATTATTATTATTAAGGAATTGTTTATTTAATGTAATTTATTTATTTATTTTAAGTTGACCAGAAAGAGACAGAGAGAAAGACAGAGAGAGGAGAAAAGTGAGAAAGCAAGCTGCCCAGTTTGGGACTCAAACTGCAGTCAGGTATGAGAGTCCAGGACCCTAACCACCGTGCCACCTGCTGGCCTCACTGATTATTTTTTCAATGCTAGAGGATGTGTGCACACCCACAAGAGAGAGCAGAAAGCACAAGTGATAGTTCCCAGTGACCTACTTTTTCTTATTCATGTCATACCTTCCTGTTACGAGACCCATCTCTGGGAATATAATTGGCATCTCTGGAAATCAGACACCCCCCCTCCAGGGTTTGTTGTTGCTGTTTTGTTGTTGTTTAGTGACTTTTCCTGCTAATTCTGTAAAGTCTATATTTCCTGTAGTTAGTATGTAGCCAAACTAAAGTCTGCTGGGGTTAGTGGTCCAATTCCCTTAAATGAGAGTTCTTAAAATGCTTTGAACTAATAAGTCAAGGCACCTTTGCTAAGAAGTTCTGTGTGGGGGTTGAGGCACACCATTGGCTCTGTCTTGGCCCTCACTTCCTGCTTGCCGAGGGCCTCAGGGTCAAGCAGGAGTAAGGGAATGTGGCCCTCTCAGGCCTTTAGATGTCCAGGCACACATTGGAGGTTTTTTTTTTTTCTTTTTTTTGGAGAGGTTTTCGCTATAGGGTGCGGGTGCTCGCCAGACAGACAGAGAGAGACAGAGAGATAGAAAGCGAGAAATCACCCCCCAGGGGGGATGGCCACGCTGCAATCCCTTCTCCTCCATTCTCCTCTCGAGATCTTAGGCACACACGCACACGCCCCCAGCGTGAGTTTAAGCCACAGGGTCCGGAACTCTAACCGCGGTCAACTACGTGGGAGTCCAGCGACATAGCCGTTAGGCTAACTGCTGGTCCCACATTGGAGTTTTTTAAAGACCTCAGCTGACATCTCATTTCCCAGATCTCCCTTTTAAATTTTTGGCTGAGCTTTTGTTTGCCCCAACTTGGCTGCCAACATTCTTAGCTAATTGTGACATTAAGTGATTAAAGTTAGTTATGTTTGTCAAGTGTCCTGGAAAAAGGGGTTTTCCCAAGGAGAGCGCTCAAAGTAGGATTAAATAATGTCCCGGGGGTAGGAGTTTTCCTGTGACAAGATCTCTAAGTTGGGTTAAATAATGGTAACACCCTGTAAGTGGAGCTTTTCCAGAGAACTGAGGCACAAGACAGATGGTGACACCATTCTGGAGATGGAGCTTTTCATCACGGTAGCTCTCAACCCAGTCTGCTCCCACCCTCCAAAAACTGCTGAGTGCTCATTTTCAAAATTACTGTGAAGTCGACGGGGAGGAGGGGGAGTAACTAAAACACCATAAACCACCGTAGTTACCAAAGTTTAGCACTTTACCTTGGATAAATACTCTTCTTTTTAAAGAATTATTTTCTTTAACTTTATTTATTATTATTATGTTCCAGTTTGATCAGAGAGAGACAGAGAAGGAGAGAGAGGGAAAGTGAGAAAGTGAGAAAGCAAGCCACCAGGTCCAAGACCTGAACTGCAGTCAGCCATGTGGGAGTCCAGTGCCTTTAACCACATCACCTGCCGGCCCCACATAAATACTCTTTGGTTCCAGAGTTCTGAAAAATTTTGTTTGATGACTTTACTAATATTCTGTTGCTTTTATGGAGGAATGAATTCGTAGCATTTCTTACTCTGTCATTCCAGAAGTCCCATCTCTGGTTAGAGACCATGTCTAAGGTCAGACTTGCCTGGATGTTAGCTGATAGGGCAAGTATTCTCTGAAAACAGTATTAAAGTACAACCCCTGGGGCCAGCAGGTGGCATGGTGGCTAGGGGCACTGGATTCACACATGGCCAACCACGGTTCACGTCCCAGACTTGGCAGCTTGCTCTCTCACTTTCCCCCTCTCTCTCACTCTGTCCCTCTCTGGTCAAATTAAAATAAATAAATAGATAAATAAAGTTAAATGAAATAATTAAAAAAAAAAAAAAGTACTATCCCTGCTCTGAAGGTATCTGGGCAATAAAACCGAAAACAGGGGCCAGCAGGTGGCGTGGTGGTTAAAGTAGCTGACTGACCAGTTTAGGCCCAGGACCTAGTGGCTTACAAGCACGTGTGCACACTTGCCCAAAATCACAAAAGGAGTGAGAAATGGAGAACAGATTGTAGTGTGACCATGTCCCATGGTAAGAGGGTACTTTCTCAATTTTCCTTTTAAATTTCATTTGTTATTATTATTTTCCTGTTTGACCAGAGAGAGAGAGGGAAAGTGAGAAAGCAAGCCGCCAGGTCCGGGACCTGAACCTCAGTCGGCCATGTGGGAGTCTCGTGCGCTTAACCACCACGGAAGCAGCCGGCCTTTGATTTCACTTTATAGATGAAGAAACTGAGGCTCACAGAAGTCAAGTCACATGCCCAAGGTTAAAGTACTGCGGGTGGCAGATGGGAATGTCCCCTGCAGAGTGAACGAAACCCTGGTGCCATGAAGCCCCACCCGCCCATCTGGATGGCCGCGCTGTGGGCAGAGGGCAGTGTGTGGAGGTGCCCGTCCTTACAGTTTGAGCACAGGAAGTTTGAACCCCCTTCACCTAGGGCTCTTTTCCAGGAGATGTCCCCATCGCAGGGCTGGGAGCTACAGCAAAGTAATGGGATGACTTGTCTTTGCCACCGAGACCCGCTGGGATGGCTCTCAGGCCAACTCCCGCCTTAGGTCCGGGCCAGAGCCTCGAGGCAGTTCCCCCGAATCAGGAGCAGCAAAGGCAAAGTCCGGCTGGGACTGGAGGCCCGGGAGCGGAGGACTGTCCTCTTCACGTCAGCTAAGGAGAGTCCAGGGGCCACGGCCGCAAGTCTGTTCAGTCCACCTGCAAGCCAAGGGTGTCCCTGGGCGGGGCAGACACCTACCCCCCAAAGCCCCAGCATCCCCACCAGCCCACAGCACCACCCGCTCCACCGTCTGCCGCAAGGGAGACACAGTCGTTGAGCGGTTCTTCAGGCCACCTTTATTGTGACAGCTCAGAAGCCGGCACGGAAACACACGGTGACAGCGGCGTGCTTTCTTGTGTTGAATCATCTTCAGGTGCATGGGCTCACCGGGCCTCGCAACCACCAGGAGAGGTAGGTAACCAGACCCACCTCGCGGGGACTTCCCAGAGCTGACCCAGTTCCCACAGGGGACTGTAAACGTCCCACCTAGACACGCCCCTGCTCTGGCCCAGGCTCCGCAGTACTGGGGTGGTGCAGGGCGTGCACAGGACACAGCAGATACCTTCGCTTCCTCGGCTAGGAAAGGGGTCCCGGACCACTCCCTTTCTGAGCAAAGCACCGCGTGGGGCCCGCCTGGTGTGAGCAGACAGGGCTTCGTCCTTGCTGCCTGGCCCCGTCCTGAGGCCTGCTGGGGACGGTGGGAAAGGCACCCTCGCCGCCCATTCCGCCTCTCTCTGTGGGGCCTCTTCCAGCCTTCCTGAGTCTTCTCCAGAAGGACGAGGCTGTGCCGCCTTCGCCCAGGTGCCAGGCTCAGATCCAGGTCCGAAATGCCGCCACATCGGGAGGCCTTCTCCTCTCACGAGCCTTCTCCGGTCCTCAGAGCAGGACGGCTCCACGCCGGGGCCACTGCCTTGATCTGCCAGCGACACATGGGGCACTTTGCCGTGTCCCTGAAGACCCGCCAGGCGCAGTAGCTGTGAAGGTATCTGGGCAATAAAACCGAAAACAGGGGCCAGCAGGTGGCGTGGTGGTTAAAGTAGCTGACTGACCAGTTTAGGCCCAGGACCTAGTGGCTTACAAGCACGTGTGCACACTTGCCCAAAATCACAAAAGGAGTGAGAAATGGAGAACAGATTGTAGTGTGACCATGTCCCATGGTAAGAGGGTACTTTCTCAATTTTCCTTTTAAATTTCATTTGTTATTATTATTTTCCTGTTTGACCAGAGAGAGAGAGGGAAAGTGAGAAAGCACGCCGCCAGGTCCGGGACCTGAACCTCAGTCGGCCATGTGGGAGTCTAGTGCCCTTAACCACCACGGCAGCAGCCGGCCTTTGATTTCACTTTATAGATGAAGAAACTGAGGCTCACAGAAGTCAAGTCACATGCCCAAGGTTAAAGTACTGCGGGTGGCAGATGGGAATGTCCCCTGCAGAGTGAACGAAACCCTGGTGCCATGAAGCCCCACCCGCCCATCTGGATGGCCGCGCTGTGGGCAGAGGGCAGTGTGTGGAGGTGCCCGTCCTTACAGTTTGAGCACAGGAAGTTTGAACCCCCTTCACCTAGGGCTCTTTTCCAGGAGATGTCCCCATCGCAGGGCTGGGAGCTACAGCAAAGTAATGGGATGACTTGTCTTTGCCACCGAGACCCGCTGGGATGGCTCTCAGGCCAACTCCCGCCTTAGGTCCGGGCCAGAGCCTCGAGGCAGTTCCCCCGAATCAGGAGCAGCAAAGGCAAAGTCCGGCTGGGACTGGAGGCCCGGGAGCGGAGGACTGTCCTCTTCACGTCAGCTAAGGAGAGTCCAGGGGCCACGGCCGCAAGTCTGTTCAGTCCACCTGCAAGCCAAGGGTGTCCCTGGGCGGGGCAGACACCTACCCCCCAAAGCCCCAGCATCCCCACCAGCCCACAGCACCACCCGCTCCACCGTCTGCCGCAAGGGAGACACAGTCGTTGAGCGGTTCTTCAGGCCACCTTTATTGTGACAGCTCAGAAGCCGGCACGGAAACACACGGTGACAGCGGCGTGCTTTCTTGTGTTGAATCATCTTCAGGTGCATGGGCTCACCGGGCCTCGCAACCACCAGGAGAGGTAGGTAACCAGACCCACCTCGCGGGGACTTCCCAGAGCTGACCCAGTTCCCACAGGGGACTGTAAACGTCCCACCTAGACACGCCCCTGCTCTGGCCCAGGCTCCGCAGTACTGGGGTGGTGCAGGGCGTGCACAGGACACAGCAGATACCTTCGCTTCCTCGGCTAGGAAAGGGGTCCCGGACCACTCCCTTTCTGAGCAAAGCACCGCGTGGGGCCCGCCTGGTGTGAGCAGACAGGGCTTCGTCCTTGCTGCCTGGCCCCGTCCTGAGGCCTGCTGGGGACGGTGGGAAAGGCACCCTCGCCGCCCATTCCGCCTCTCTCTGTGGGGCCTCTTCCAGCCTTCCTGAGTCTTCTCCAGAAGGACGAGGCTGTGCCGCCTTCGCCCAGGTGCCAGGCTCAGATCCAGGTCCGAAATGCCGCCACATCGGGAGGCCTTCTCCTCTCACGAGCCTTCTCCGGTCCTCAGAGCAGGACGGCTCCACGCCGGGGCCACTGCCTTGATCTGCCAGCGACACATGGGGCACTTTGCCGTGTCCCTGAAGACCCGCCAGGCACAGTAGCTGCAGAAGTCAGTGTGGCCGCAGGGGACAAGGCAGGCGTTGGCAGTGTGGTGGAAGCAGATGGCACACTCCCTTCCCGGTGTGGCTGAGGACGGGGACACAAAGCGGGGCAGGCGTGTTATATGTACTCGTGATGCAAACAGGGCAGGGAGCTCTGCGGTCATGTTCTGAATGGTACCACCTTGGGAGAAAATGCTCATGACGTAATCACTCAGGAGGGGACCAGGTGTGTACATATATATACTAAAATTCTGATACAGGGAGAAGGAAAACAGCACCATCCCCACACATGCATATGTATATGTATATAACTACGTCTAAAAAATACTGGGTGGGGACCAGCAGTTGGCATAATGGCTATGTCGCTAGACTCCCACATAGCCAACCGCGGTTCAAGTCCTGGACCCGGTGGCTTAAAACTCACACTGGGTGCGTGTGTGTGCGTGCCCAGGATCCCGAGAGGAGAATGGAGGAGAAGGGATTGCAATGTGGTCATTCCTTCAGAAGGGTGATTTCTCACTTTCTGTCTCACTGTTTCTGTCTGTCTGTCTCTCTCTCTCTGGAGAGCACATATACCCCATAGCAAAAATCTCTAAAATAATAATTAATGATAATAATAATAATATGAAATAAGTTTTAAAAATAAAAATACTGGGTGGAACCCTACCTAAGAGGCAATGGATAGGATTTTTAATTTTACTTCCATCATTCTTTAATCTTTATTTCCATTTGACAATACTTTTCTTTTTAATTGCAAGAGGGTGCGTGCACTCACGAGAGAGAAAGAGAAAGAAGCCCCCAATGGGGCGCAACCTTTTGCAGTCCCTGCCCCTTTATTTCTCCAGCCCATCAAGATTCGGGACACCTACACACAAGTCTGGCATGTTTTCCAAGCCCCTAGGGCCAAAATTCAAATGTAGTTGGCCATGTGGGATCTGGCTCCCTTAACGAGACTACAGGACTGGCCCCATTTGACAAAGCTTTTACAATGAATGCGAATTGCTTTTTGCAAGAAAAAACCAACACCTTCTGCTCCTGAAGGTGCTCTGATAACGTGTGAAGTGAGTCAGTGTGGTAGAAGGCAGAGGCGTTGTGTTGCTCTTAGGTTTCTGGCAGGCAGAACGAACCAGCTTAGTCCAAAGCCTGTGAGAAATCCCACTGGGACTCAGGAAAGACATGACTGAGCAACTAAGCCTCAGGCCTCAGATCTCCCCTACCCCCTCCCAGTGCCAGGTGCTGGAGTCCCGGCGGGCCCTGGTGCTCACCTTCAGGCTCCTGCACAGCCTCCTCACTGGGGACCCATGGCGCTGCTGTGGGAAACAGGCTGGACGCAGGATCTAGGGCAGAGAGGGAAACTCAGGACCCTGGGAGCACACTCAGGGCTCCCATCCCCCCCTGGCCCTGCAGCACAGGGTCCGTCTTCTTTCTTTCCTGGGTGACAATGCTGGAGCTCCAGTTGACTTGAAGATCCTGTCCCAGCCAGTCCTTCCCTTGTCTAACCCGTTGAGAATTCCCAGGTCTGTATTCTTCCTCCTAGGCCACCCTTCCTTCTTATTTGTCCTCCTGCCACTGCCTGAGCTCAGACCCTCAGCATGGAACAAGTTTCCAAACCCAGATGTGCACCCACATCTCCAGGAGCAGGCAAGATGGCGGCACAGCTGAAAACACATGCACTATGGGGCGATCCCACAGGGGAGGTCCTAAGACCTACCCGTGCACCAGCGCCCAGGATCTGGGCTGGCTGAGGCTATGGGTGGATGGCGGGGTTGAGACCCCACTGGGGGTGCTGTCTCTCACTCACTCATGGAAAAGGTAAGCAGATAGACTTAAAGAATTTTTTTTTTTTTTTCAAGAAGCAGGGAAAACCTTGGTGCTTGAGCCCACCCCAGACCTGTCAAATCAGGCCATCCCGGAGTGAAGTTCTAGCAGCTACAGCAAATTAATTTTAAAACAAATTTGTGGACCAGCTCGTGGTGTGGTGGTTAAGGCAGCTGGAGTCCATATGGCAGACTGCACAGTTCAAGTCCCAGATCCAGCAGCTCGAGAAACACAACAGGCACACATGCATGCATGCCCAGAATCCTGAGAGGAGGGAGAGACGGAGGAGAAGGGACTGCATCGTGACATTCCCCCATGGAGGTGCCTTCACACTTTCTGTGTCTCCAGTGAGCACACGTGCCTTCTGGCCACGTTAAAAACTAAAACAAATTTGCCCGAGGGGTGGAGGAAACGGGGTATGGATCACCCGCTCAAGAAAGCCAATATTGGGGTTTCATTCGTAGACAGACTTCTGTGTTTTGCTTTTTGTTTTGCTTTGGTTTTTGCCCTAGGACGCTTGCACTTACCAGAGAGAGACAGAGACACTGAGAGAGAAAGTGAGAAATCACACCCTGGGGGGTGGCCATACTGCAATCCCTTCTCCTCCCGTTACCTGTCAGGATGTGGGGCATGCGCACACACGTACCTGGTGTGATTTTCAAGCTGCTGGGTCTGGGACTCAAACTGCAGTCAGCCATGTGGGAGTCCAGAACCTTAGCCACCACGCCACCTGCTGGCCCCTCCTGTACCTTTGGTCCTCACACTTGTGTTCCCTTTGCTTGCCATCTGTGTTTCTAGAGAACTCCTACTTAGACTGCAAAACCCAGCCCAAATGTCTTCCTTTGTGAAAGGTGATCAGATGTTTGGGGGCCGGTCATGTCCTCTTACTGTCTCGGGGCAAGGCTCCCCACCCTGTGACTGGATCCGGGCCAGCTGAGTCTCCAGGCCCTCCTTCATAGCTAACACCAGGCAGGGCTGATGGAGTAACTGACCAAAGGGAAGCTTATCCCACCGCCTCTGGATCGGGGTGGGGTGCCAGCAGAGTCTCCGTCTCCCCCCACGTCCCCACCTCCGGGGTGTGCCACGGATTGCCTCACCCAGTATCTCGATGGCCTTGGTGGTCCCGTATACGTCCATCACAGCCCAGAGCGGAGCACCCATGCGCACACCCTTGCGCAGCAGGAACTGGCGGCCTGCGTTGACCTTGGCGAAGAGCTGGCCACGGCGGTTCACCCAGAAGCGCACCACGTCCCCAGCGCGGGCGCAGCCCTCCGGCAGCACTGCCGCCCACGTGGGGCTCTGCTGCTCCAGGTCCGGACACATGAAGGGCGGAAGACTGGGCGCAGACACGTGCGCAGGGTCCAGGCGTGTGAAGCCCACACGGAGGCCACCGCACCAGCCGCCCTCCTGCTGCAGCATGCGCAGCGCCACGCGCTCGCCCGGGGCCACCGGCCTCTGGCTGAACACGATGCCGTCGTGGAACGTGGCGCGCCTGCGCGCAGTGCACTCATGCGCGTCCAGATGCACCTGCGCGCCTTTGGCCTCGGCGTGGAAGCGAAGTGCCTCTAAGGGTGCACTGGTATCTGTAGAGACGGTGTATAGAGGGTGTCAATGTGGCACGCCCATTCACCACCCGCTCCCAGGTCCACCTCTGGAACGCCTACACTCTGGGCCTCCTTGACCTCCCCTGGGAGACCAGTGCTGCCTCCCTTAGCTCCCTGGAGTCATCTGAATCCCACCCCCGCCTGAACTGCCCTGGACTGTTAGAGCCCAGTGAGGAATCCACCTTGCACACTGGGTCTGGGTTCCCACCAGGAACCTCCCCAACCAAGCCTGTTTCCCTCCCTTAGGAATGCTGGGGAACCTGAAGGAGTGGTCACCTGTTTGTTCTCTGCCTGTGCTTGAACCAGGTAATGGTTATTATTGTTAAAAAGAGCAGGCTAGGGACCAGCAGATGGCATAGTGGCTATGTCGCTGGACTCCCATGTATCGACCATGGTTCGAGTCCCGGACCCAGTGGCTTAAACTCATGCTGGGCACGTGTGCGTGCCCAAGATCCCGAAAGGAGAAGGGACTGCTGCATGGCCATCCTCCCGGGGGGGGGGGGGGGTTTTGCCGCTTTCTTGTCTCTCTCTCTGTCTTCCTGGTGAGCACACGGGCCCTATAGCAAAAACCTCTCCATTAAAAACAAACAAACAAACAAAACGCTATGCACATATTCCATGCATGCACCTAGAAGGCAGTGGGCAGGCTCGCTAACAGTGGCTGGGGCAGGAGGGCCACGTGGGCGCTGTCTTCCTCCTTGTCTGAGGTCTCCTTTTCCCACAGGGAACCTTGGGAAGGCCACACCCCCAGGGAGGGGTGGTCTTTCTGTTCCTGGGAGAGAATGGAGGCCAGCGCTCTCCACCAAGAGGGGCTCTAGGCCGGCCACCTTGGAACCCCGGGCTGGGTCCGCCAGGCCCAAGAGTGGGCTTTGAAGCCAGGGGACTTTCCGCCGGACTCCAACAAGCAGAGGAAGGAAAGCTCCTTGCTGGGCAGCTCTCCATTTTAAGCCCGAGGTCTGGAGGAAGCTGGTGGAGCTTCCTGCCCCAGAATCTCCCTCAGCCAGCTCCTGGGCCCCTCTTCCTCCTGCTCCTCCCCTCTCGCCCCTGCCCTTCCTGGGCTGGGGACTGAGGTTGGTGGATTGCTGGCTGTTGAAAATGAAACTGAGATGAACTCAATCCGAGGTTGAGCCAGAGCCCCAGCCGGCCTAGAAGAGCCAGGTTCCTCCCCTCCCCGATCTGTGGCCTTCCCTGGCAGCTCTCTGACCTCACACATGCTGTAGCATTCCAGCATGGCACAGGGAGGGCGCGGAGGACACCCTGAGGCTCAAGGAGTCTATCCCTGACTGCCACAGGCCACAGGTAAGCCGATCTGAAATGCCCTTACCTGAAGCCTTAGGGTCCCCCTGGCTTTGGGGCCTCTGAGTGAGCCCTCACAGAGCCACGTACGAGGTGTCCCTGCCCTCCTGTCCCCTCCTGAAATGCCCTCATCTTCTCTTCCCATCGGACAGGCGTGCCCAGACTCCCTGTTCCCCAAGGGTGTAGGTAAGCCGGGAGCATCTCTGAGCACAATTTGGGCTGGTGCCAGTGGGGGCACCCTGACATCCGTGACTCTATCCTCCTGCTCACTGCTGAGTCACTGAGGCTCCCAGAATGCTGTGAGGAGGGCAGATGCAGGTGGCCCCAGATCCTGGTCCCTGCTGCCAGGCCCGCTGCCGACCTAGGTGGGCCTGTCCTGCCAAGGCCTGGAGTCTCTGGGCACCTGCCTGGGCTCCTGAATGCAGCGGTCACCGCCCACCTGGCCAGGCATCAGTTCAGGGTGAGGGGGCAGGCGGGAGCTCCTGGTGTAACCAGCCCAACCCCAGGAGGGAGAAGGCCACCTCCTCACTCAGCTAGGCCACTGCCCAGCCCTGAGGTGAGGACTAGAGTGAAGACCTGGCTGGACTCGGTAAGGGACCAGGGCAATGGCTCTGGACGATGGTGGGTGCTGGAGACGTCTCCACTCACCACCACATCCAATCCTGCCGCACCCCGAGAGGCAGAAGAGAACCCTGTGGCCAGCGGGTGAGCAGGCAGCCTTGGCATTCCAGCATGGCACAGGGAGGGCGCGGAGGACACCCTGAGGCTCAAGGAGTCTATCCCTGACTGCCACAGGCCACAGGTAAGCCGATCTGAAATGCCCTTACCTGAAGCCTTAGGGTCCCCCTGGCTTTGGGGCCTCTGAGTGAGCCCTCACAGAGCCACGTACGAGGTGTCCCTGCCCTCCTGTCCCCTCCTGAAATGCCCTCATCTTCTCTTCCCATCGGACAGGCGTGCCCAGACTCCCTGTTCCCCAAGGGTGTAGGTAAGCCGGGAGCATCTCTGAGCACAATTTGGGCTGGTGCCAGTGGGGGCACCCTGACATCCGTGACTCTATCCTCCTGCTCACTGCTGAGTCACTGAGGCTCCCAGAATGCTGTGAGGAGGGCAGATGCAGGTGGCCCCAGATCCTGGTCCCTGCTGCCAGGCCCGCTGCCGACCTAGGTGGGCCTGTCCTGCCAAGGCCTGGAGTCTCTGGGCACCTGCCTGGGCTCCTGAATGCAGCGGTCACCGCCCACCTGGCCAGGCATCAGTTCAGGGTGAGGGGGCAGGCGGGAGCTCCTGGTGTAACCAGCCCAACCCCAGGAGGGAGAAGGCCACCTCCTCACTCAGCTAGGCCACTGCCCAGCCCTGAGGTGAGGACTAGAGTGAAGACCTGGCTGGACTCGGTAAGGGACCAGGGCAATGGCTCTGGACGATGGTGGGTGCTGGAGACGTCTCCACTCACCACCACATCCAATCCTGCCGCACCCCGAGAGGCAGAAGAGACCCCTGTGGCCAGCGGGTGAGCAGCCAGCCTTGGCCGCATGGCAGTCGGGGCAGAGCTAGGGGGAGAGGGGCTGCCCCAGCCTCATCTAAGGCAGCCCCCATAGGGAAGTGGCCCCATCATTGTGCTCAGCTCCTCGGGCCTAGGTGGGAGCCAGCGGGGTTGAGCTGGCCTTGACTGTGGGTGGAGCTTCCACCGTGACTCCAGGGCTGATGTGGGACAGAGGCTGACTCCGCCGCTCTGGGGCGAGGGGCGAGCCCACTGCCCTGTCCACTTCCTGGAGGAAGGTGGGACCTAGCTGGCTGGGAGGCAGTCCACAGAGGAGAAGGAATGCCTGGGAACGGTCTTGTAGGCACGAGTCCCCAGGCAGGATAGGGAGGCCCTGGGGATCCCAGCAGAAGCAGGCCTTGCCCTGGACAGGAGCTCGAGTGTGCAAAGCTCACCCCTCCACATCTCAGCAGCCTTCCCGTAGCCCCTGGAGCTGCGCTCTCATGTCACCACAGCTAGAGGAGGGGCCAGGGGACACAAGCCCGCTGAGTGCCCTTCTCTGCTGCTCACCAGCGCGCTGCCCTATCTCAGGCAGCCCTCGGCAACGGCCTGAAAGCAGCTCTTGGAAGGCACCATGGTTGGTAAGGAAGAGCCGGCTCCCTGGGCCAGGCCTCTGCACACGCACTCTCCCATGTGGTCGCATGGTCGTGTGGCCATGTGGTCATGGTGGCTGTTTACTGTGCAGGGCCAACCCCTGCCCCTCGTCCTGCCAGCCCGGTGAAGGCCTGCCGGACTGGCCCATTCACTGCACAGGAGTCAGCTACCATGGTTGGAGCTGAGGGGCCGGTGTCCCCTGCACTCTGACTAGCTCCTCCCACGTGGCCTACAAGTGGCCCTCCCACCTGTGATCCAGGCAGGCAGGTCCCACCCAACCCTGAGTGCAGACGTGGGTACAGACCAAGCATGATGCTCCAAGCAGGCTGTCCCCAGCCGGCTGGGCAGCCACAAGGCTCAGAGCACCCTCACACTTACGGGTGGCCGTTCTTATTACTCAGCTCCGTTTCCAGGCAGGTACTGCGGCTCAGAGCCTCAGAGTGACTTGCCTGGGGTGGGGGGAACCCTCCCCAGAGACCTGCCAGTCCCTAGCTCTCCACTGCCACAGGGGGCAGGGCCGTGTGCCCAACTTGACCACAGGAACCCACCCTGGCTGCCAGGAAACTCAGGGAACTCAGGACCTTCTGGATGTCTCCACCCTGGGCAGGTGGAGTCAAGTTACAGAACCTTTGCAGCCAGGGAGGCCGGTTAGAACGTGAACTAGGGCCTCGCCCAGCACCCAGCCCAGCGCCTAGCACCCAGCCCAGCGCCCAGCACACAGTCCTCGTCACCTCCATCCCCGCAGCCACCACCCATGGGACACTTAGGGCCTCTTTCACTCCTCCTGCCACCCCGTGGGGGACTCTCAGAGCTTCGGGAGGCTTCACAAGTCATTTGGTCCTTGCAGCCAGAAATGGGGGATCCTGGGCCCAGCTCTGGCCCTCATACCCTGGAGCTGCCTCCATTATGGCATGTCATTGCGCCGCCTGGAGGGCGAACACAGCTGCTGCGGCGACCGAACTCTGCCTGCAGCCTGCTGCAGTGTTGAGCCTGCAGTGCCAACCAGTGGCCACGGCTCCAAGCACGGGCTCCTGGCTCTTTGCTTGGAGAGTAGTTCAAGGCATGCAGCCCTAATACCAGGGGTAACAAACCTACCCCTGGTTCTCTGAGCCAGTGGGTGGCATGGCAGCTTGGGTGCTGGACTCCCACATGGCCAGCTACAGTTCGAGTCCCAGACCTGGCGGCTTGTTTTCTCAGTTTCCCCCTCTGTCTCTTTCTGGTCAAGTTAAAAAAAAATGAATAATAATAGAGACTAGCAGGTGGCATAATGGTTATGTCTTTGGACTCTCATGTAGTTGACCATGGTGCAAGTCCCAGGCCGAGTGGCTTTAAAGCTCACACCAGGCGTGTGTACAGTGTGTGCCCAAAATCCCAAGAAGAGAATGAAGGAGAAGGGATTGCATTGTGGCCATCCCCCCTTGGGAGGTGATTTTTTTCTGTTTCTCTATCTGTCTGGCAAGCACATGTCCCCTAAAGCAGAAATCTCTCTCTAAAAAATAGTAATAAGAATAATAAAATTAAATAAATTATTCTTAAAAAAAGATAGGAACCTGATTCTCCACGTCCCTGCCACTGAGGGATGCCTGGGACCCCAGGTGAGGCTCACAGCCCACCTTTCATCCGTGCAGTCTGCCAGGCCTGCACGCTGGCAGGGTGAGCTGCATTGTGCCCAGGGACAGACTGACTTGACCAAGGTCCCACAGCTCGACCTGGCAGAGCTGGGACCCCTTGGCCACTGGGCCCCTTAAACTCTACCCTGTTGCCCAGGGGCAACTTTGCACAGGCTCTGAGAGGCTGGCAGCTCTCGGGGCATCCCGTCATTGCCTTTGCCGGGCTCCTGACCTCACCTCTACCTGCTGGAACTCCTACCCTGCGGCGACACTGAGCCCCACAACTTTCACTCCCATGCAGGGACCAAGCACAGGGCTGCAGAAGGTCTCCTTACCGGCCTTGGAGCACAGCTGGGCACCCATCAGCCTGGGGTCCTGGGACACAGGTCTGGACGGAGTCGTCTGGAGAGGGACAGGAGACAGGTTTCCAGGGACTCAGCAGGTCTCCTTTTTATGGGCCAGGGATTGGTTACAGGGTTGATGATTAACAATGTTGCTGTCACGGGTTGCTATATCCAGGGAATTTCCTGATGACTCTTCCGCTCACTGCAGCCTTGCTGCAGCTGGCTGGCCTGAGCGAAGGAAGCGGGGACTGGGAACAGGGCCCAGCAAGGTCTTAGGGTAGCTGCTGTCTTACCTCTGACCAGCCCTGCGCCAGCTGTGCGCTCTAATCACCAAGGCACGTTAATAAGTACCTGTGCCCAGCCCTGTCCCCAAAGGCTCTGGTTCCATGGACCTGGAGCGGGGCCCGAGAGTCTGTAGTGTGGAAAAGCATCCCAGCCAGCCCTGGTAGCACAGGCTGCAGCGCGCCTAACCGCTGGGCCGGGACCCACGTGGCCACCATGCACATTAAAATCTCAGACTCTGGGGCCAGCAGGAAGTATGGTGGTTAAGGCACTGGATGCCCACAGGGCTGACCACAGTTCGAATCCTGGACCTGGTGACTTACTTTCTCACTTTCCCCCTCTCTCTCCCTGGCCAAATTAAAATATAGTAATAATTAATAAGATTACGTAAACAATTCTTTTAAAAAAGAAAATCATGCCGGGCATGTATGTATGTCCCAAAATCCCAAGAGGAGAGTGGAGGAGAAAGGATTACGTGGCCGTCTCCCCGAGTGGATTTCTCACTTTCCTTCTCTCTACGCCTCTCCTCTCAGGTCAGCGCACAGAGAAACGTAAAAACCAGAACGAAAACTCTGACCCAGTTAGCCTGAGACACGCCAGGCCCACTGCGCGGCCCCCAGGAGCTGATGCGCCGGAGGGCTGGAGGAGGCCAGGCGTGACCAGTTTCGGTGGAAGGTGCGTCTCTCCTTTTCCCTTTTTTTTCTTCTTTCTCTTTCCTTTTTAATCTGCCAGAGGGCATGTGTGCTCACTGGAGAGAGAGAGAAAGCGAGAAAGCACCCTCGGGGGCATGGCCACGCCACAATACCTTCTTCGTCCTCCTCTCAGGATTTTGGGCATGTACTCACATGCACCTGGGGTATTTTTCAAGCCATTAGGTCCAGGACTGAACTGTGCAGTTGGCCGCGGGGGATCCAGATGCCACCACAATGCCACCAGCTGACTTCTTTTAAAATAAACAAAAATGATAGGGCCAGCAGGCGGAGTAGTGGTTAAGGCACTGGACTCCCACATGGCCAACTGTGGTTCAAGTCCTGGACCTGGTATCTTGAAAATCACTCCTGGCATGTGTGTGCGTGCCCAAAATCCTAGAGGAGAATGGAGAAGAAGGGGTTGTGGTGTGGCCATCTCCCTGGGGGGTGATTTCTCACTTTTCTTCTCACTATCTCTGTCCTACTCTGGCAAGCACACATGCCCTATGGCAAAAACCTTTTAAAAAATTATTAAAAATTTTTAAAAAATTACTGTAGGGCATATGTGCATGCCAGACAGAGATAGAGAAAGAGAACGAGGAAGCGCCCCCAGGAGATGGCCACGCTGCAGCCCCTCCTCCACTCTTTTCTTGGGATTTTAGGCACCCATGCCCACGTGCCCAGGTTCTCACTGTTTCCCTCCTCCTGCCTCAGCTTCCCAAGTAGCTGGGACTACAGACCCACGTGACTGTGTCCAGCTTTCAGAGTGAACCAGGAATTGAACTTGAGACCTCCACGTGGCTTCGCCACGCAGCAGCATCTACCAGCACGCAGGACCTGAGGGTGGGCCTCCTTATGTGCAGTCAGAGTGGAGACTTGCTGCTCCGACCTGAGCTGCCAGAAGGCACTTAATCCCTGGTGCCGAGGAGGATCGAAGCGAACCAGCTGCATCCCAGGATCTGTGAGGTCGGCCTGCCCCAGGTGTCCAGCAGAGAAGAGGGGCCAGCCAGGCAGAAGGGCGAGGGTTGACTGTTCCCCCAGCCTTGCTGGAGCTGGAATTCCACTTTCCAAAATCCACCAGGAAAGGTGAACAGCCCTTGGGGAGGTCCTGGCAAAGCCCTGGCTCTCCATGTTCAGCAAGGATCTTCTGCCCCTCCGATTTCTGTTAGGGAGACCGAGGCTCACGGAGGGAACATGGCTTGCTCTCACCAAGACGTCTCTCACTGCAACATGCACACAAATCTCATGGGGATCTTGTTAAGATACATGTCGTCCGGGCCTAGCAGATGGTGTAGTGGTTATATCGCTGGACTCCCACATGACTGGCCATGGTTCAAGTCCTGGACCCTGTGGCTTGAAATTCACACTGAATGTGTGTGCGTGTGTGTGTGCCCAAGATCCTGGGAGGAGAATGAAGGAGAAGGGGTTGTGGCGTGGCCATCCTCCTGGGGGGTGGTGGGGGTGATTTCTCACTTTCCCTCTCACTGTCTGTCTTCCCCCTCTCCACCCACAAGTGCACATGCCCGAAGGCAAAAACCTCTACAGGAAGGGAAAAAACATACAGGGGTCTAGGAAGGGCTGGAGCCATGCCCGGGACCCCGCTTCTATAACGAGGTGGTTCTGTGGGCCGCACCTTAGAGGACAAGGCTCTAGGTAGGTTTGGAGACGCGTGAGTACCCCAGCCCTTAACCCCTAGAACAAGGCCACAGACAAGGAAGGGTATCCCTGAATGTCCCTTTGAGACAGGAGAAAGCTAGCAAGCAGAAGCAGGTAAGGGGGCTGGAGCATCTGCCCTTGTGGCTAGATACAAAAAAAAAGAAAAAAGAAAAAGGGCAGAAAATGCCCTGGCAGGTAATGCAGGGGGTTAGTGGGGCAGGTCTAGCTGGCTAAGTCCTGTGTGACATAGCCAGATGCGGGCCTGGCCACATTTGATAGAGCCAATGAGATGAGAACTATCGGTGGGCCCAGCCAATAACCGCGGTGAAAAATGATAAATCCCACAGAGTGTAATGCCATGGCCTTTGACACTACTCTCTCTGCGTCCGCTCAGGCCTGCTCCCACCTCTCAAGAATGTGCTTTCACTTTTACTTAATAAACCACCTTTCCTTTCACTATTGTGCTTTGTTCAGTTCTTTGTCCGACACACCAAGAACCTGGACGTGGTCACAGAAGCCACTCCGCTACACGTGGGGCAACTGGGAGTGGTCGTGCCTTGACTGGGCTGGGGGAGTGGGCTGGGGAGGGAGAGGGTCCTCATTACCTTGGGCAGCCCCTTTGCCCTCCCTGGGCCCTGGTGTCCCCTTGTACAAAAGGGGGAGCCAGGACGAGTTGGTCTGTGGGTCCCTTCCAACCCCAGCGCTGTGACTTGATCTTGGTGAGGAGGCGGGGACCACAGTGGCCTGGCCCTGGCTGACTTCTGAAGATATTGCAGTAAACGTGGGCCTTCCCTCTCACGGTGGCCTCTGCCTGCTCCTCAGTGTCTCCACAGAAGCAGTCTTCTGAGGGCCCATGGCTAACCAGTACGGAGTCAATGCCAAGCAGAGGGCCCAAGGTGGATGGTTCCATGGGCTCAGCCAGAGGTGAAGGACCACCCAGCTCATGGTGTGGGATCCGGCTCAGGGAACCCCATCAGGCCCTCTGGCAGCCTCAGGGGTCTCTGGTTGTTGTCGGATCCCAAAGGCCCCTCCTCCTCCCTCCTTCCCTGCCTTGCCCCAGCCACAACACTGGCTGCCCTGCTGCTTCCCCAGAGGGCTGAAGCCAAGAGCCGCTTGTTGATAGGCCACATTCCACAAGAGATAAGCCTGGGGTCTTATCAGGAAATCACCGCTGCAAAGCCCCAGCTCATCTGGAATATTACTGAGCAAGCTGCGGCTGTCAGGTTGCCCGGGTCGGAGCTGGGGTGGGGTGGTCCTGTCTGCAAGGCCTCGGGGAGGGTGGGCATTCTGAGGAACTGGAGCTGCCCCAGGCCTGATGTCTAGGGGACAGGAGTGCCCGTGCAGACCCCTGCCACACACTCCCGTGTTCATTTACCAAACTGGCAGGCAGGATTAATAGCGCACCGCGGTCATTTTTTGTTTTGTTTTGTTTTTATTGCCAGGTGGCAAATGCATTTGCCAGAGAAAGAGAGAAAAGGCACCCCTCGGTGGGATGCGGTTAGGCCACAGCCATTTTTGCCTCCAGGTCTTCGTCCTGTCAGAATTTTGGGGCACACATGCCTGGTGTGTTGTTCAAGCTGCCAGGGCCGGGACTTGAACCGTGGTTGGCCTTGTGGACTCCAGCTCCCGGGGCACAGTGCATTAGCACCTCTAAGTGCTACAGGGCCAGCCCACCGGCATGTGAGAAAACAGCGCAGGAAGGCCCTCTCGTCTAGGAAGTCACTCATCGAAGTTTCCCCTGCGCCTCTCCCCTGAAGCAGGTCACAGAGCCTCATTGACGTTCTTGTCTCGGAAGACAAACGCAGAAGAGTCTGACCACGCAGCCTTGCTCAGTTACCCCCTCTGTTCCCAGGGGCTCATTCCCCTCCTTTAGCCAATCGTACTTCTATACAGCTGTCCACCCTTCACGTCAAAGGCTAAAACTACACACCTGCCACTGTGCCTCTGATTCTTTATTTCCTGAAGTTGAATGTGCCCTGCAAAAAAGAAAAATGTTTTGAGAAATTTTTGTTATAGGGTGAGTGTGCTTGCTGGAGAGATAGAGAGACAGAAAGCGAGAACTCACCCCCGGAGGGATGGCCACGCCGCCATCCCTCCTCTTCCATTCTCCTCTTGGGATTTTGGGCACCCACACGCACGCACCCGGTGTGTTTCAAGCCTACAGGTCTGGGACTCGAACCTCATTCGACCACGTGAGAGTCCAGCGCCTTAACCACTATGCCACCTGCTGACCCCATGCCATGCAAAATGTGCATGAACAGATGTGTATGTTTTCTCATCTGTCTGTGTATGGGACCTCAGCCATGGTCACCTCGTAGGTACGAGTGAGGAAGCAGTTCTGCTCCTCTGCAAAGCCCCGCTGTCTTGAATTCAGGACTCATGAACTCACTGATGCTCGCGGCAGCTCCTCAGAAAGGCTCTAGTTATTGTAACCGGTCCCACTTTACAGAGGGGAAACCGAGGCACTGAGCGGTGAAGCGCCTTCCTCACCGTCTCAAGGCTGTGAGTGACAGACGAGGGTCTGGCCCATGCGTTGTGGTTGGAGAGCCCGTGCCCGTCCACACGGCCCCTCCCGGCTGGTCACCCAGGGCACCTGGCAGCTTGAGGGTTTAGCTGCCGTTGGTTAGTTTCCCTCGCTGACTGCTGCTTTGTAGGTGGCTGCTGACCGGCCGCCTGAGTGCAAGGTGGAGACTGCCCCATGATGGGGGTACCCCTTCCCTTCCCTGCAGCACCTTCAGCACCTCAAGGCTGGTGCCTGGCCACCCCTGTTCTCAAGGGGACTCTCCGCTCCAGAGAGCCATGCCTCAGGGCTGGGGGGATTGGGCGTCCCCTGCTGGCTGTCCTCAGTACTGCAGGATGTGCAGAGGCTCTGTGAGCCCTCCAAGCTAGGAAAGGCCTGGGTGTCAGGGGGGCTAGGTCTGAGGTCTCTGCATCTTCTTCCCTGACCCCCAGCTCCCCACAACCCCTCCCTCCCTCCCCAGCGTCATTGGGACGCCTCAGTGCCTGGCAGCCCTGTTTGCCCAGGGCCCCTCATCACACAGCGCTGTCATACAGGTCATCTCGTAAGACACCTGAGCTCTGAGAAGGAGCGGGTCGGGGAGGGCTCGTCCTGGGTTCACACAGGCTGTGGCCATGCAGGCGTAGAAACCCAGTCACGCCGGGTCCCACCAGGCCGTCCAGCCTCTGGCAGCCCCTACCGTCAAAGCCCTGGGGCAGCCCCTACCGTCAAGGCCCTGGGACTGTGCCTGTCCTCATCTGGCTCCCTCCAGGCTGGACTCTCAGGGCACCGGCCGCCATGCCTGGGAACCAGTCCCTCAAACAGTCAGGGCCACGGGCACATGAAGTGGACAACAGGATTGCCAAGGCCAAGTAATGCATTGTGGCAACTTCTTTTTTCAAATTATTTTAAATTTTATTTATTCATTTACTTATTTTATTTTGACCAGAGAGACACAGTGAGAGAGAGAAAGTGAGAAAGTAAGTCACCAGGCCAGGACTTGAACCATGGTTGCCATGTGGGAATGTCCAGCGCTTTAACCACCACGCCACCTGCTGGTGAAAATTGGGAACCAGCAGTTAGCGTAATGGCTATGTCGCTGGACTCCCACGTAGTCGACTGCAGTTCACGTCCTGGACCTGGTGGCTTAAAACTCACACCATGTGCGTATGTGCCCAAGATCCCGAGAGGAGAATGGAGGAGAAGGGATTGCGGCGTGACCATCCCCCCTGGGGGGTGATTTCTCGCTTTCTATCTC